CTGCTGCTTCTAGCGCAAATGGAGGGGTGCGTGCAATCGTAGTCCCTGCTCATATTTTGAAATATAAGCAAAACATTCTTACATATAATATAGTGCGTCCGTAAAGTCATAGTGCACTTTCGATCGGTCACAGGAAAGCAACAAAATAAGATAGAAATATAAAATTTCCACAAAACAAAGGGAAAACTCTCCAAGTTTCCGTAGTTTTGTGTGCAAGTATGTGCGCACACAGGTGATGACAGAGCAACGCAAAGGAGCAGATCAGCCCATCCACGCCCATGCCAGTCGAAATGTGGACCGTACAGTGGAAAGTTCAATGTGTTCTGTGGCTTACCAAATTTGAATCCGTGACCAAAGTGAAAGGTGAATATCGTCGCGTGTACAACAAACCGCCACATAGAAATAACATTAACCGGTGGGATAAGTAATTGGTGGGATTAGTTGAAGGATACCGACAGTTTGTTGGACAAACCCAGTTTTGGCAGGCCATCGGTCAGTGACGAGTCTGTAGAGGCTATATGAAAGAATTACTTAAGACGCCCTTGCAAATTCCAGCTGTTTCACGCTATTAAACCGACGGACAGACCTAAACGATTTGGGCTTGCTACAGATATGCTTCATGAGGTTGATAGTGATAACCGATTTCTGCAGAAAACTGTGTTTAGCGATGAGGCGATATTCCCTGCCCTGGACATGTTCATCGCCATAACATCCGAATTGGGGCTGCTGAAAATCCTCATGCCCACGTACGAATGTAACAGCCCTAAAGTGAACGTGTGGTGTGACCTGATGCATGATAAAGTGATAGGACCGTTTTCATTTGCGGAGTGTGTGTGGATGTGGGCTGCATTCATGCCGTCACGGCATGAATGCTGCCCACCTCAAACTGCACAAATAGGTATGAAACTTTAAGAGGTTTTCTTTTGTTTGGTGAAGATTTCACATTTCTATCTTGTTTTGTTGCTTTCCTGTGACCGATCAAAAGTGCACTAGGACTTTACGGACGCACTGTATATATACAGTTGCACAAATACCAATTGCATTATTAATTTTGTGAAATGCTGATCTTAAAATGTACTTCCGATTAACAAGCTCATTTAAATGTAGTTAAAATATTACAAGAATAATTTTAGTAGGCTAGAAAATTCTGAAAACAAAGCTCATACAAAATGTTTTATTTGGTCCATATGGAATTTAAACATCACGTTACCTTTTATATTAAATCAAATAAGTGCATAAAGCGCTCATACGTTTATATGAACATTTCTGGGAAATATTAGAACACGAATCTACTCATTTTCGTTCATCACTTTTCGTTGCTTATCGAGACTGAATGAATGTATTTTAACCAGACCTTTAGGTAAGAAATTACAAGATAGAAGCTGTCTGTTTTCAAGATAAATAAATAGCACTCCTTGTTAAATTTGTAACAAAATCCATCAAATATTAATTGGATTGTAAAGTTCTGTACGTAATCGTAGTGAATGTTTGATATTTAAATAAAGGAAGCTTAGTAAATAATTTGTTAATTTATATTCGCTCCGTGGGGATTATACAGGTAGTAAATTTTATATCTTCAGAGCTATCTCGTTTATAGTACTTAACTGTTTGGATAACATTTTTACTAGTTTTAAGAAATTATATAACTGGAAATATATGCCTAGAATCAATACTTAAGAAAATAAATCCTATCAGCCCTGTTTGTTACTATGCAAATTTGTTTTCTAGTCACTGAGCTGAGCTGATCAGTGTGCGCAAATAAGTTTTTAAGTGTGCGCTTGGAGCTTCAGGTTGCTGGAGTTCCAACGACGCACATGTTCTTTTGAGTTACACTTTCAAAGCAAGAGGTTTGCCGTGTTCTAGGGTCGCCGTTCCTCAGCCAACTTGGCGTTTAAAAAACGAATAAAGTAGGTTCAGACAAGATTATAAATCTGAGATTTCTTTGAATTCTACTGAAGGTTTGCAATCGCAAGTCAACATTACAGTCCACTAACCGTTAACCACGGATGAAACAGTCCCTTTTTTGTATATGTTATATATAACAGTAGATGTCTTGCAGACTGAAAGAAATTCTACATTTACTTAGATAATAATATTCATAATAAAAGAAATAATGAAAATTGTTCGCAAACCGTGTTTCAAAAGTATAATGCCAAACGTAGTATTATCGCAATTTAGTAGAACGTAAAACATTTTGCATTATGCGTAGTTTTACAAAGAAAAGGTATTTATGCTCCTAAATCAATAGCTAAACATTATAGCTTCACTGGAGAAATGGGGTCCAAGGCCTTCATCCAGGCCTAGTTCCAAGCATAGGAGACACAGCCAGCCGCCTAGTAGGCCGATTTTCGAAGGACAAAAGTCAAGTTCTTCTCATGTTTGCTGCGAAGTGCATTTAAATGCTGAAACTATGTGTTTCTTAATGTCTTATTTTAATGCTAAAAATTTTAATTTTTAAATAGATTCGTTATTTTGTCATCTGAAATCATACGCCTGCTTTCAGTTTGGCATGCTTCGATATTAATTGCTCTGACGGAATATTAAATTTGTATTATAAGCAGTACTCAAAACCATTAGATTTCGACAGAAGATAGGAACGTTCGGTTATGAATACTCGCATTCTAACGAATCCAGTAAATCCAGAAAAACCGTTAAAACACAGAGCAATTTTTCATAAAAACAAAGATTTGATCAGTTCCAGAATGATGAGTATACACTAAACAGTTATTTCTGATCTAAGAAAAAACTTGATAAGAACTCAGCAGCGGAAAACTGCAAAAACTTACATCGTTCAGTTCAAGCAACAATTGAAGGTCCCTATTTTATTTGTGCTACCTTACTCTTTTTTACTCTTTGCTAAAAATTTCCAGTTGGAAAAAGTATTTTTTTCAGCTTTCATTTGAGAAGGATTTCGGAAAGTGAAATCTAATAAAATCATGCAGCTTTGAAGACATGTGAAAAAATACAAAAGTCACTGATGATGAGGCCTCTAAGTGCGTCCGAAAAGATAATGTTAGTCACCAGCTGCTTTCTGGAAATACCACTACAGCTGCGCCGTTTGCTAAAAAAAACCTGAAAAAACTATAGATGTTGTCATGATGACTTTCTAAAAAAAATGAGAAACTGAAGCCTGCCTGAAATAAAAAGAATATATATAACGTTATTAACACTAATGGAAAATTATAAAAGCGGTTTCCGGTTAAACTATAAATTCTTTATCATTAATCAGCGTACGAATATAAGCTTGTATTTCCTTCGCAACTCAAGCTTCATTTTGTCCATATTTTAGCAAGCTTACGAAACCCTGGAAGACTTAAACTTTTATTTTTCATAACAGCGCTTTCTGCAATGAAAAGTAAATAATCCAGTTTCTACTGCCAAACGGAATACTGATATTAATATTATTTTCCAGTTAAAATAAGTAATGCATTTTTTTTTAAATTCCTAAATTTCGTAAAAAGCCTGGTTTGTACCTAAATAGTTAAAAGTACTATCATTGTTTATTTGCAGAAATGATGACAGTTTTGAATAAAACATTAAAATAATCCTATTCGGAAAGTCATATGTAATGCAAATATTGAATTTTCTGAAAACGATTATATCATAATTCTGGGTATTCTTATTTTCAACTTTCAAACTCTTTCTCGGAAAGGATATCTGAATCTTTGATTTTGAAGCAAAATGTGATAAAGTAACTTTATAAGTTTTATATAATTAAGAATATTTTTCATAATAACTCTCTTCTGTCCTTTCGGTTTTTTTTTTTTTTTTTTTTTTTTTTTTTTTTTTTTGGCCTTCACCAGAATGTTAAATTTAATGCAATTAGCATTTAAAAAGAGTGAATATACAATGCTAGAGCCTTTGTTTCAAAATGTTCAACGAGTCCGTAAAGTCGCAGTTTGGTACCTTGGTTGAAATTAGTGAGAGGTTTATCTGCTAAAATCGAGATTCAAGCATAGTAGAATGGTCTTGGAGGTGAGGTTTTATAGACGTCATTGCAATTGCGAGTTTATAATCTTTTATGCTTTCTGTTAATTAAAAACTCCATAAGTTGAGGTGGGCATTGTTTGTTTATTTTGAACTTTAGGTCTGAGAAGTTGCTAATGAATAGTTTATTTTTTATCTTCGTGAGCTCCGTGAGTTGATTTGGGTCGGCAACAAACGATTAGACACTATAAAAAAGATATGTGAATGTAAGGGAAAACAATACATTATCTAAAAGGATAAAATTATTAATCTTTTAGTACAGAGGTCTTTTTGTCTCACCACATTTTATGGAACCTTCAAAGCTCATTCTTTTCTATTGCCAACTGGTTTAGATTATAAATGTAACTATTTCGAGGAGGTTAAGTGTGTGCAGATATTTAGCATCTTACAATGGTGGTGTTGTATTTAATTATGGCGAAGCACACTGGGGATATCTGCCTAAGGGGAGGTATGCCTTCGTGGAGGACTTTCTAACATCTTACAATGGAAACACCAGCATCTAGCTCACGCATTCATTTACTGATAAATATCTTTGCACTGAACATTCATAAATCTAACGTCTAGAATATCGTTAAATAAATATCAAATAATTTATAGTTTTTGATTTTTTTTTTATTCTGTTAAGGACATTTGTATTCTGTTAGAAAGCAGTTTAAAAATATACTCGAATGTGCTTATTCCTGATAAAGAATAAATAACGATGTAGTACTTAAATGCACTGAAATGATATCAAATATAGTTTTTTACAGCTAATAGCTAAACTAAGCAATATATCACCGTAATATTTGAAAAATGGATAAAATAAAACCTTTTTATAAAAATTTCTAATTATTAATAATGGTAAAAGGTTCATGAACTCAAGATCACTCGAAACTCAAATGTATGTTTTCAAAACGACCTTAAAAAGACGTTGTCCTGTTTTTATCATGTTTTAAAATACGTTACGTTCTGTTACCTTACATGGAACTTGTCGGTAGATGTTCAAAATTTTAAAGACAATTTTTTTTTTACAGATTGTTTCTTCATTCAGCCGAGGGAAGAATATACATTTTCTTCTGAAGACCTATCGATTGAAACAGCAAAATCTATCTTAATAAAATCGCCGCAGTCATCAGGACTTCAGATAACTGTAAGTTGTTTTTAATAACTGTAAATTTTCTTGCAGTAGAGTTAATCAGAATAAAAAAGGCGCTTTTTATAGGTGAATGTTTTTCTTGCGTCTACCTTTACAAATTTAGAGGCTACCACAAAAGTTGTGCCAATATACAGATGGAGGACAAAATAATACGAAAACCTGTGAAATAATGGAAAATATTTATTAATAGGGAGTTGGACCACCCTTGGACTGAAGTACAGATTGAATGCGACGAGGGATAGATGCAGAAAGGTCATGGATAATGTTTAAAGGAATATTAAGCCATTTCTCCTGCAGAGCGGTCTCTAATTCCGAAAGTCCGGATGGAGGTGGAAATCGGTAAAGAAGTTTGGACTTCAAATATGCCCATAAATGTTCAATAATATTCAAGTCCAGAGACTGAGGGGGCCAAGCGAGATGTTCCATTGCATCGTCATGCACTTCGAACCATTCTTGAACAAACCTAGCAGTGTGGATAGGGGCGTTGTCGTCTTGAGAAAGCGTCGCTCGCAAGGAATACAGTCTGGACAAAAGGATGGACATGATCCCCTAGAATGTTTAGACAGTGATTGGATGTGATCCTCCCCATGCAGAATAATAAGTGGCCCAAGACCGCGCCAAGATATCGCACCCCATACCATAATGGTGCCACCCCCCATATATCACAGTCGGCAAGAGGCAGTCAGGATTAAACGCTTCTTTGGTCGTTCTCTAGACATAAACGCGTCCGGTCGACTGAAATAGGGTGAATGACGATTCATCTGACCATATTACCTGCTGCCACTGCTGGGGGGCAGCCTTTGTGATCTCTGCACCACTGCGTCGCTTGAAAACATTAGTTGCTGTCACTAAGGGTTTACGAATTGCCACTCTGCCATAAATGTTCGCAGCATGAAGTTCCTTTTTGACAGTTTTTGTTGAAACGGAGTCCTGGAGATCACTGTTCATTTCTGATGTTATCTCGGATAACGATTGCTTGTGCTTTCGGGCTACTATGCGCTTCAAGACCCGTCTATCCCTATCAGCCAACTTTGACTTTCGGCCACTGTTGTGCTTTGAAGACGTCGTCTTACCTTCTTTCATGTACGCTGTCATAACGGCTAATACCCTACTCCTTACACCCCCACAAGGTTAGCTGTTTCCGTAACTGATGCTCCACTTGAACGCGCTTCAACTATCATTCCTCTTTGGAACTCTGACAGGTCTGACATTTTAACTTCTCACAGACAGTTCGATCGAAGCATGCAAAGCAGGTGACTGTTGTTGAGAGACTGATACCTTCCTCTTCACGCTCACCAGATGACAGATTTCCGTTGCAGGTGGCGCGGCTGTACTGCAGGTGTGAAATACGTCATATTTTTTTACAGGTGTTCGCATTATTTTGTCCTCCATCTATATTTATTAATCTAAAGAATATGGAAAAGAAACTATTATACACAAGCTCTGGTAACGAAGCATAAACGCCAATAACGAAGAATATTTTCTGGCAAACGAAACACTCACTGTCGGTTTCGATCTATTCGCGTTACCTATCTGATATTTACTAAAGAAGTTTATTATACTATTGTCCAATGTAAAACAAATGGGAAAAACTATGAGCAAATATCATTAAGTGCTTGTAATATTTTTTAAACTTTTCAGTAATATGTAATAAAGACTTAATAGGGAACATTCTCCATTTATCAAATGATATGCGAAATTCTCTTCAGTTACAAATGTATTTTAATATACGTATCAAATTGAATCAAAATAAAGGAAAAATATTACTATAGTATGCATATTTGTCAATTATTTACCTGCTAAATACCAAAGTGCCTGACTTGGTTCAGCATCATCCTCGTATTTTCGTTACTTATCCCTCTTAAAAAATGAAACCCTGTTTCTTACTTTCATACGTACGCATAAAAAGACATAAAATCAAGCTTCAGGAAGATGTTTTACGCTATTTGAGAGAAAAGAAGCAGCATTTCTTGGTTAGAAAACTGTTATACTTTTCGTGCTGCCATAGATCTGTTTCAAAGAAAACACAGAAAGTTTCCTGCGTCAGATGCTCTCTGCATGCATCTTCCATAAATCGACATTCTAAAACCTTTTATCCATTTTCGCGTCACACGCACGTCAGGCAAAAAAACGGTCCAGAAATACACGGTTATAATGCCTGGGTTTTAAGTAAACATAAAAGCATGGTATCTTTTCTTTTTCTTTCTAGGTTACAAATAATGGGTTTTGTATTTTAAAAAATGTTTTGTAAATCTGCTTCATCTTTAATCACCTTGCATTTACAATCATTATGGCATTTAAATAACTCGAAATTTTTGAAAGCAGGTAATTACTTTTAAATCTTTCTTAAAGACGTTTCACTAAATATGAGTACCTGACACCGTTTAATAATAGGCTTTGTAAATATCAGTAGTTAAACCTGTTTTCTGTCCATTGTTGTACTGTTCGCAGTTCCCATTCAAGTTTTGTAAATTTTAAAAATATCTTTCTGATTTCAATTTTATGTATTCTAACTCCTTTCCTAAATTGTAGCACAAAAGTTAGTTTTTGTACTTATTCTAATGTCACATACTCTGCATATTTTACATTGAACAAGGTGTTGAGAAAAGGTGGCTACAGACGTTATTTCCTTAAATATGTATCTCAAACATTTGCTTACAGTTAAAGTTTCTGAAAGGTTTTCTATTTTTTGTAAGCTTAAATACATTAGACAATTTTATTATAACTGTTTCAATCCTATGAGAAAGGGAAGAGTTATATAACAACATCTGTTATACGACCCGCATAAAGCAAAAATTCTAGATAGTGCTTCCTTCTTTGTGCTTCAAAACTTCTTTACGTTTTATCCGTACATTTATGTGTAAAATTCGAAGAGATATCATTGATAAATATTCTGAAGGAGTCAGCTACAAATTTAAGAAATAACTTTGTTTTTAACACCAATATGAAATTTTTGATGGCAGAAAGAGTAAAAATTAAATCATTTGTTCATGAAATCTTCATTATGTTTTAATGTGTTAAATACAAAATATTTTATAACTTTAGGCACAAAATGTTTCACAGAAATGAGCATAAGTAATACTTTTATGAGATCATCTAAAAGTTCATAATGTGTACTATTCTGTGGCTTCATTAAGTGTCTAAACAAGAGCATTTTAGCTGTCATTTTACTCTAATTTAAGGACAATCTTAAAAAATGCTTGGTAAGAGGTACTGAATAGCAGTTTAAGTTAACAAATGCATTCTTCAGTATCTTCAGCGGTTCTGCATATCTGGAAATTTATTTTGGAACATACTGAAATATAACGAAGATTTTTTATTGATCAGATTTTTTTCTGCTTTGTGGAGAAAATTTAACAGCTAAATGTTGCATTTAGAAAAGCCTGAAGTCTCCTAACTCCATTACTGAGATTATATTCCTTATATCTGTACAAAGTTTCTCATTATTTAGAGAACCGTTGTAATGAAAGAACATATCTTATTTCGTTAATTTTTGTAACTGGAAGTTGATGGACAGAATCAATTTTTAATACAACCACTCCCTTCTAAACCTTTGTATATAAACGTATATCAAAAACTATTAATTGTGGTAGTGTCTAATATTCAGTGAGATTAAAAAATGGTGCCAAATATGACAATAACGTTACATCTTTTAATTTGTTATTTTTATTAGCGTGTTCCATTGATCCTATAGTGCTTTTTTTTATAAATCTTACGTATTGCTTTGATTACAATACGTAACAGTTGATTGCAATAGGTAACAGTTACGTATTATGTTGAATACATTAATATTTCTTCAAACTGATTCCTTGCCAGTTACTTATTAAAAATAAGAAAATGTAAAGCGTTTTACAAATTACAGACAACTTTTTAAACCAATTAAATTTAAAATATTTTTTTTTTGTTTGTTTAGATTTGCAGAATAAGCTGCTATTTTCGTTTCTTCAGTTTGTTTAAAGCTTACTAAAATTCATTAAATATGCCATTAAAACGAATTATTTTCTAATAAATTCGGTTTCAACGAATAGTTTTCTGGCTACACTTTTTTCTCTTTTAATTAAATATATATTAAAATTGTTTCGTTCCAAAGATTTAAAATGTACAAGTTAATTTTTCTAGAGCCTTGGAGTCAAACAATTTTGCTATCCATACTTGTTTTCTAGCTTATTTAAATGCCTTGAGCACAATTGTTCCAAACTCTTTTAAGCGTTAAGTACAGAAGCGAAAATATTTACGTAATACAAATGAAAAGAAAAATGCAAGGGGCCTTTTGTTTGACGCTACTCTTCCTTGAAAAATTTGCTTTTCAAGGAAGAAAATTTTTCAAGGAATTTCGAGGTCCATGAACAGCTTGCCAAATGCAGACTAAAAGTTTTAAAAATGTGACGGAATAGTCATTTGTTCAGAAGGCGTGACTAGATGCACTTAAGAGCTACTAAAAGATAGTCAGATATGAAAAATTGTATTCTTTTGCTAAAGGTGTAAGGAAAATGTGTTTACTTCCCTTATTTCTAAAATTTTGATGAGGATACTTGATTACTCATGTGGATAATGAAGTTGTAATTCGTATCTTACTATGCGAAAGCATATATTTATTCATAAATTACATTATTATTTCATTTAACAGAATGATAATCCCCGAACGGTATTAATTACCTTACCCTCACATATAAACGTAATTTTTAAACTTTAATTTAACTTAACTAAAGCGGTTAAAGTTCTTAAGAGAAAACTGTTCAAACAGATTTTTTATCGAAATCATACATAAGTTCCTTCAACCACATGATCAACCAAATATGGTTCGAACAAGTGGCATGCTCTTTAAATTTAAAAATTAAAGAGAATATTTTAAATTTGATCTAATGATGTGATAGTTATTCTTCTATAAGATGTGTACAGGTAGCAATAAATGTGACATATATTGGGACAATAAATGTGCCTTATGTTAAGGAATATTTATGTAGAAAACAGAGAGAACAGAACACATATATTCA